TTATGGTACAGCAGATAATCGTCGCACAGTAGGAGGCATGTCTCCTGTACATGCGACAAATGTACCCATGACGCCATTTACTATTGGAAGCCATACACCTTCATATATGATGTCGCCAGCATACAATAATATGTCGCCACAATATTTTGCTCCTAATACACCAGCATTTTCACCAGTGCTTGAACCAGCTGGAGGTTCAAAGGCTATTACAGTTGGGCAGAATTATTCATGGTCAAGCCCGTATAATTCCAGCAGCCCAGCCTATAACCCGTCTTCACCACAATATTCTCCAAGTTCTCCTTCTACGGCACCATTCGCACATTCTCCTGCTCCCGCATTTACTCCTCAAAGTCCTGCTTATAGTCCTACAAGCCCATCTTATTCACCAACGAGTCCTCAAACCAATTATGGTGTTGGAGTAATTGGCATTGGTGGTAATATACCTAATGCAACTCCTTCAAACTATAGACAGGCGACAAGTCCTACATATTCTCCAACAAGTCCTTCGTATTCACCAAATTCTCCAAGTTATTCACCAACGTCGCCTAGTTATACACCTACATCTCCAAATTACACACCCACATCTCCTAAATATTCTCCTACATCACCTAATTACTCTCCTACTTCGCCGAGTTATTCACCTACATCACCTAATTATACGCCAACTTCACCTAGATATTCGCCAACAGGAACGGCTCAACATTATTCACCCTCATCACCAATTTATTCACCCACTTCACCTACTTATTCGCCTACATCTCCTAATTATTCACCTACATCTCCTTCTTATTCGTGAGTATTTTTAAATTATTTTTTATTATTATATTTTTAATTTGAATAATTTGAATCCTGTAATTAAATTTTTTAACATTTTCTTTAGACCAACCTCTCCAGTATATACGCCTTCATCTCCTAGTGCTACCGTTAATTATTCATCATCAACTGTTACCGCTACATATAACCCAGTGTCGACAATAAGTAATACTTCACAGAGTACTATTGGATCCGGAACGTATAGTC